ACCGATTAATAAGAAATAATAGTTTATACGGAACGTTTTGAAAAGTAAAGTTGGCGTTGTTTACTTTTATTTTATTCATATTTACCTAGGCAATACAATAATATTATATTATATTACATACATATACAGGGTGTAACAGATAGAACTAACTTTTAGAATAACTTTTGTTATTAAATTAAGAGACCCTTGCGTTACACGTACAATATAAAAAATTTTCATTTTTTTAATAGTAAAAATAAAAAAATTTAAATTTGATTAAATTTTTATTGRAAAAATTCAAAATAGCCAATTTGTAAATTTAATTAAAAGAAATATTTTGATGGTAAAAATATTTATCTAAATCAATTAGTTTATTTTTTAGATTTTTTAAAATATCAATATTTTTTTGCATAAATCACTTTGGAGCGTTATAACTTCTGTCTTCTTTCAAATATTATTTCTGAAATGAGTATATTTCTTAAATTATTTATTAATTATATAATTTTCACAATTTTTGTTGTACTTTTAATTAGCATAATTTTTTTTTTTTAAGTCAGTTCTATTTGATACATCCTGTATATTTTATTTATAAAATTAGTAGATAGTCTTTCATAAATGTTTGATTTTGTTAAGTATAGGTAGTAAGGAACCGTAACAGATATATTATTATACTAGTACAGTAATATACTTGAATACTTYTATAATCYCTTATAGATATTATATCATAGTAACAACTAACAAGTAACTTTAAGCTATAATTTATTGAAAAAAGTATAGTTTTTCATTACTGCTATGTGGGCTGCGTTCACACGATGATAGTAAAATGTGAATACGTGATTGTTGCCCTTTATTATACTCCCAAATTGCTCAAACATATTATCATAAGCCAATAAAAATGTCATGACCTATTGTATTTCCTTCAAAAGTTTCAACCATAAGGGTATAGATGATTTACTTTTTCAGGTAGTTYACTATARGCTACGCTAAAATATAATAATACATAATATAATGGTATTAATAAGGTAAGCTTAAATATCAGAACTTTTAATCAGGATACCCCCTCCCCCAAAGTCAAGAACTGATAAAATAATGYCCAGAAAAAATCATAAACATTAATAAYGATGCGCTGGGTGTGTGTATTTATATTCTATAGTGTGCGCAGGCGCGGCGGGCGATACCACTACGGCCGAGCTGATGAGACGGCGTGCTTACGAAGCAGTCAACGGTTACARGTTGAATACTTGTCAGGGAACGATGTACAGCTTCATGGAGAGCAAGGAGACYCAGGTGGCCGAAGCGTTGCGGTGGACGGCGGCGGCCTCGGGCGGAGACGACGCCGACCGCAATCATGATGACGATGACGGCCGGCGACACTGCCGTCTGATCGCTTACGAGGTGCTGTACGTCAAGTACGGCGTGGCCAAGTGGCCGGTGGACTCACTGCACGCCGTCCTTTCTGGTGAGCACCGCGTTAATCGTCTGCTGCAACATAATATAATAATTTGTACGTTTTGATTATTTCACCACTGCGCGTTCACCGCGTATAAACTAAATATACACTCTATAGGACACTAACACGCTGGATACACGCCTGTACTCAATAAAGATTTTTAACATATTATTTTTGTAATTATTATTAAGTTACGCAGTAAGTACATAATTCATAAATATACGTAATAATATTTAAGAGTCATAAGAATTTAGGAATTTATCAMAATATTAATGCAATATTCACGTGTACGATGACGTATATATTATATACCTATGCAACAATAATTTTCGGACTTTACTGGTAGTGACTTCCAAATTTTATTTTTTATTCTACATGTATGAACTAGGTGACTTCAAATAATTATTTGGCGACCCTTTGGTCGAGAATCGGTGAACTAAACTGATTAATGGTATTGTAAGTATACGTCATGTGGGTTTCAATAAATTATATAGTTATTGCTAATAACTTATTATTGGTTGTACTATGTAAGTGTCTGAATTGCACTGTACAATCAATATTATTGCTTTAGTATGACTAGTATGTCCGAGTGGCCAGTGACATAACCAGGGATGAGTTGGGAATTAAAACTCCCCTTCCCAAAATCAGCTACCCATTTTACTTTATTTTTTGGCTGCTAGCATATTATCCTATATATATAATGAAATGAGTGTCCAAAAGTATTGTTAAAAACTGAAGTTAAATGTTTAAAAATAATATTTGAAGTTTTTTTTTTWAATTAAAATAAATATTAAAAATATAAAACTCCAAATGTTATTATACATTCAATTGTAAATGTAAGATTACCACCTATATTATTATTTACTTGTTTATCAGTTTATCACTAATTCGAATTTGAATAGGTACTACATTTTTGGAAATTATATATAGTTWACACTAAATAGCTTAATCATTTTTTTGTTGATTTACGATTACGATATAATATATTGATATTAGATCACAAAATATAGTACACACTACTAATACTTATCAAACGATTCTWACGAAAAATAAATTGTGTATAAAAACTTAGTGTTTTGAATTCTAACTCAAACAAAAAAGCAACCAATTAGTTTATATTTTAATTTGCTATGATATGATATTTGAATTAAGTTATAAGATAACGAATTAACTTCTTTTAGTTTTTATACTTTTTGTATTAAAATTTAAACTGTTCACACACACAAAAACGAAAAATAAACATTTGTTTTATACGCGTGTTTCTACTGTTTATTAACTGTTCAAGTATAATGTTTATTTCATAATAAAACTTGATATTAAAATAGGTACACACTATTAAATAATACGATCTTTTTAATCTAAGTAATTTTACATAGCGTTTTAGGACGTTATTAATTTTATCGTTTTCCAAAGCTAAACACATGAGACGCTTTTGGCTTTTCTATAATATGATTAATGATGATTAATTACATTTCTCAATTTMATATTTGGCTATTATTTATTGAGTTGGGCCATTAATCATGATTTTTAGTATGCTTTTTCTATCCTTTAATATTAAGTTAAAATGAACATGTAAATGTAATAGAGACTCATCTACAGAATATCTTATATAATAATTTTCTATTATTCATCATTAACCATTAATAAATATCACAAATGCCGCAAGTTGGCAGTGGGTGACGCGTTGTTAAAACTGTACTATCCTTTAATTAAAACAATATTTACACTTTCATGGAATATTATTAGGTATACTTAATGTTCGATTTTTCATTTTTTTTTCTTTATTTATTGTATATGGTAAAATAATTTAAGATCTTGTACTTGCTTATATAACCCTATTAACCCTAATATCGTGTTTACGTTTTATGGGATTTATTTCATTGGCGATTATTATTTTATGATTGCTATTCTCATTTTTATTATTATTGACAGATTGTCAAGAAGCTGAAGACGACGACAACACCATGTGGTACACAAAACAAYTGCTGACAATCGTCTGTCGAAGAGTTCTGAGTTTTGTCGATGACCACTGTCATTCCCTGATCGAAATTGTTGAAAATATGGACCGAAACCAGCGGCGTGATCACTTGTACGCATATGGAGTATATGAACTGACCGCCGAACAGATCAGACACGTCGAAGTAAGCGAGATTTTAGTATATAAAACTTATAAAATTTGATTATCATACAATATGGTAGGTATATTAGTATTAATWATAAGTTTATAATTATGGTAGATTATTATAGTAGATTGGCTTTTATCCCTATTATATTTTATACAAATCACTTTATGACTTTATCGGTCAAAAATGATTGCATTAATATTGAATTATAGCTATGGAGAATATATTTATACGMATTTTTACAGTTTTTTTATTCATTCCGTTTTATTTACATTATTGGTACTTTTTCATGCCAATTCATTTACTTATATATAGAGTTACAATTTCCAAACTAATATTATTAGTTTCTGAAATTTATTACAACATAAAAAAACAAGATGGTAATCGTAATCGATTATCCACTATTAAAAAATCATTTACTTTAGAGTGTTTTGTCGCTACAACTTTCAAGTACAATTTATAAACAACGAATTTCCTAATGTATTTCTTTGTTTAAAAAATAAAGGTACCTACCTACACCTTTTATTTTTTATGTTGGTAAAGTGTATACGGGTTGAAGATTTAAGATCACGCAAATATTTGATTACCGATAATACTACATAGAACAACCTTTTAGAATTTATATTTAATCACCGATTGAATTCCTCATAAATAAAAATATATAAATATATATAATGATAAATTATATTGCTGTGAATTTCTAGTAATGAAAACCAATGTCAGTTATCAAAGTTTTAAAATGTAGGTTATATATACGAAGTATCTATTATGTTCTATGATTTATATTTATTAGATATTTGTAAATTATGTTTTAATCCTAAATAGTTGTATCCAAATTATCCTAGTTATGCATTGGTTAGGTTAGTTGATCACTGCTCACTAAATTACTAGCTCACTAATTTATGTAGGTACTTTATTTTATTTTCATTTKTAGGTACTATTTTACTGTATATAGTTCAGTCTTTAATTCATTACTACACTTATTTTCATCTTATATAAAGAGGAAATTAGTTTTCGACTGTAACGGTCAACACCCAAAAGACAAAAAACATTTATAACTTATAAGTTATAACTATAGTCTATAATATAACTAATATCCCTAAGTATCTGTTCCAATTTGTGTTATTTATTTTTTAAACAGACTATAGACGAAGGCAAACGAACAGTCCAAAAATTAAAGGATTTAAAACGAGATTACCATTTTCAGTACTTCTACGATATGCGATGTGTCTCATTGCAAGCGTACRTACAAAAACTGAATGTCAGGTGACGATTTTTTAACTACTACAACATGATGAAGTGCGAGAAACAATGTTTTTATAAACTTATTATTATTGATCAATTTATTTTGTATTACTTGAGCACATATAGATTATTATTGTTTTCAAAGGAATCGTACACTAAAATACAAAATTAAAACACATATTTTTTCTATACTTGATGTCTGGTATTGAGTAATTATAAAAATAAGTAATATATTATTATTTAAAGTACCTACTTACATGTACATTCAAATAAATAACAAAAAAATACTTAAGCTATTTATAATAGTTATAGATTTATAGAAGGGTAAATTGTGTAATTAAGAAACAGAATTTTAAAACAATGTGATGTTTTTACAATGTATACATGTAGGGYCAATTATTATTAAATTTGTTAAGCTAATTTCAAATTGCATCAAATCAATCTTAACTCTTAAGTAATATTATTGTATAAATATTTTAAGATAAATTAGTCTTAGCTTCATATTTTATAGGTAATACTTATGATATTGATCTCAACTAGATATTATTAACTGTATTGAACTATCAACTGGAGAATTGGGGGTTTTAAACGTAATTTTTGGCTTTACTGATTTAAGTCAAAATAATTTTGATAAAAATATTAGTGCATAATCTTATTTGGTTAACTTGAGAAATTTTATTTTGATACCTTGACATTTTCAAATATTTATTTTTTCCTGATATATTTCTTTTAGGTAACTAATGACTGCAACAACACGAAATTCCATCTTTTCATTTCATGTAAGGTCAAATATTTCCWGAATAATATTTTTACCTTTAAATTTGATGATACTTAAATTCACTCTAATTTTCAAAATTACAGAACAAAATGGATTATTTTGAATTTAATTTTTAAATTTGTTATGTTTTCTTATTATTATTAAAATGTAATGATATAGGCTATACATTGTCTTAAAGAACAATGGTTCTCAACCTAGTAGGAGCATCCTCTTAAGTTTCAAGGGAGAGATGAAATTTTTTTTCATAACAAAAACGTGATTTTTGATTATTTTTCATGTTAAATCGAGAAATTATTAAGTTTACTAAATTTATTTAGTTTATAATTACTTTTATTTCGTTATTCCTTCACTAATGCACTAATTCAACCATTTTTGACTGAGTTATCTCCTTGTGTATCCAGATGTTAAATTGACTATGAAACTTTTAGTGCTGTTTTTCTTCACTTACCTACCTCTGTGAGTTTGGCTTTAAGGAAATTACAAATCAAAATAACGAGCTCAAATGCACAATTAGACGTAAAATGTGACCTGACATGTGCATTATCACAGTTATCGAAAAACATAAAAAAATTGATTTTAATAAAGCAGTGCCAACCCTCTCACTAATTTCTATCTATATCATAAAACTAAACTTAACATTTAATATTTAAGAAAGTGAATATACAATATATTTTCTAACAAAGTAAATACATTAAATATTTTTAGAAACTTCATTGTTTTTAATTTATATCAATCAATTAAAGGCATGATGAATATTGTATATATTAAAATATCTAAATTTGTAATATATATGTATTCCTATTACCTATATATTTGTATATATATATTAAACATAATTCAATGTTATTAATTATTATGGTGAATGGAAAAGGCGAGACGCATTACATCATAAAATAGCATGAAAGAATCCATGCACCTCTAAAGGTTGAGAACCCTCTCTATAGAATATATTATCAGACATCTATGTTGTGTAAAAATATTTCTTGCAATTATTATTACTTGAGTGAGTTATTACTTATTATTTAAACAAAAAATTATTTTAATAGTTAATTCTACCTACTGAAATATTGTAGCCTACTAAATTAGTTGGTATCTATAACTATTACCTACATATACATTTGCTAGATTTACATATACGAGTATAATACGTTTACATAAAACATTTTTATAAAAATAGTGTTATTAAGTTAACTATATATTTGTAAGTGGACACCAAATAAAATAAGTAAATAATGAGTTTTGGACTTTTCCCTTAATAACAATTTTTTTTTTTTACCTCATTAAATTGTGTATCATTCAAATTAGATATTAAAGAACTAGTACGTTTTACTTAATTTTAGTTTAATAAAGTATAATCTGCCACCTGTTTATAGAAAAAATATTTTTATTGTCTAAAATCCTAAATTCGAATACGTCTAGAACCATTGCCGGATCCAATATTTGTTTTTTTTTTCTATAAACAGTTATTATTTCTATTATGRATTTTAAATTATTTTACTCAAAAAACATCTTGTTCAGTATATTAATATATAACTTTATAAAATACAATTATTTTATAGTAACAAACTATACACAGCTTTTATAAAGCTATGGATGGCATGTGTTTGTAATTTATATAACAGGGTGACGATGATTAATTAGGAAAAATACAAACGGGTGCATGGAGCTTTACTTCAAGCAACCCTCGTCATTTGTTACAAGGTTTCAGTCGTTTTCAACAGCCTCTTGGCGGTGTCTCAAAATTCTAGTAACTAATCAGTGTTCTTTCGAAAAAGAAAAATACACTCATGTAAATATTTCAATGAAAAGAAATATTATTTGTGTCATCACTAAAATAATAAAATATATCAAAGCTTCTTAATGTATTGATAATACTTGAATTATTTTGAGTTACTATAATTTTATTTTTAATTATTCATAATGCTCAACTTGCCATTCAACCTTCATCGTCACTCGTCAGCCAAGCTGGTGTTAAAGATTTCAAATGAATCATAAAATCCTCCTGATAATATTGACATAGAAAAATTAAATTATCAACAATTTATGTCAAATAATAATATATTAATTCTATTTAGGTTTTTAATTTACAGGTTTATAAGAATATACTCGTATATCAATACCTATATAGAATACAATAATTTCCTTGTTAGTTTTCTAGAAAATGATTGACATATTGTAACTGCATAAAATGTTACACCAAAAATTAAATAAATAAAACCAAATACAAAAAACCAATCAATAAAATACAAAAAACCCAATAATTTTCTCTGAATATTAWAAATATTTATTTTTAGAAACGATAACTTGAAAAGTTATATTTAAAATGTAWTAATGGCATAACTACATAAGTATAAGCATTGATTATGAATACTAGTGTTTATAATCAATGATATTATAACGGTAAAATATACAAATATGGATGTGGGATAAATTGTTGTCATATCATTAAGAAAATATAGTGGTAATAAATATTGTAATGTGATTTATAACTAAGTTTGTCTACAATTGGTATAAAATATAGTTGTTACTTGTTGTCAAAATTTTTTACGTATAAAAGTRTTTAATAGTTGTTAATTGTTATATTGTTATATTGTTGTATTTATTATGTCCGTACTGCAGATAATGCATACATGTTATTATATTATACTCGTATTATGATTATAACTTATAAGTAGGTACTATACTTATTATGTAGATATTAATAGTAGTCAGTAGACCAAAAAAAAATAAACTAAAATATATACAAATAAAAATTATAACAATATTCAATTATTACCAATCAATCTTTGTTTCACATTTTAAAATAGTTACTGAATTCATCCTAGCGATAACTAATATGGTACTGGCCACTGAACGACGACAAGACTTGTGCAATATCGTTTGCGTATAAAAGTAATAATATATTATATAACATTACTCGACATCCACCTTCAAACTTCAAAGGTCTTACAGTTACTAACATGGTTTTTAATTAACGTTCGAAGATCCGTGAGCTCACAAAAGAACACGTGAACCGTTTCTGGCAACTATATATAGCATAAATATACTAAACAACATAATATTAGGTATATTGTATTATATAGACCGTCAAACCTAGTTATATAATATAATGATATAATTGCCGTCTAGA